TGTTCGTATAAACCGGTATATTGCATTTTCCTGGCTACAACTTTAGAGGGCTAAGTCAATTTGGTGCTTGACCTTTTCAAGTTTCCATCCACAAAATAGTTCAAGCCTCCTAAGGCCTAAGAAGGTGATCAGTAAGTTTTGTAGGGGAGCAGAACGAATAAACAGAAGCAAATATCAGGAAGCCAATTCTACTCTCCAAAACATTCCACCCGTATTTTTCAATAAGTAAATGACATTCAACTCGCGCTTTCAAATCACTTGGGGGTTAATTTTACCCCATTACTACGCAGGCCCTTAGTCACAAATATAACAAACTGTTATTTGTTTACTTTTCGAAGTGGACTCCTCAGTGGAATTCAAATAAAGGAGTACAGCCAATTTGCCGCATCCTTTCTGTAAATGTGACCAACATACATGGGTGACGCTAATCAGTGCGGATCATGTTATCATTCAATTTCTTGCTTTGGAAGTCTGTGGAGAGGAGTGTTATACGGTGACAATATGCAAGATTAATATTGACGCACTCCCATTTCCTGTTGAAAATGAAATTGACATTCGTACAGAATAACAATGTTAGTGGTAATTGGGTGTTTTGAGATTGGCAGCGGGTTTGATGAGCGAAGGACGGTCAGACTACGTATGGTGTCACCACTGCCAAGCGTACGCGGATAGAATTTGTTGTATCGTTACAGACAGACTGCATCTACACACCTTTGCAGCGAATGACTTGGAAATTCATTGCAACATAAATTTTAACAAGTATCATTGAGTACTGCATCTGTATGGCGCATGCTATGAAAAAACACTTTTTAATCATCGGCATTTCGGTACGACCCGATTTCTACTCCCTAGGAAGACATACACGGACAAATATTAAGTAGTTGTGTAGTTTCAAATGTGCCTTCGCAGATTGTGTGATAATTCACGCAGTCAATCTGAGCTTCATGGACCGCTGCACGAAATTACGTTGAACCAAGTGAAGCAACAGTAATGAGAGAATCTGATTAGTTCTTGCCAATATATGTTTTCCCAGAGATCCAGGATGGAAATGTTTTCCGGTGTATCTTCCTGGGTGCAAAGATGAAGTTAGGAAATGGAAAAAAATTATCTAAACAATTCTCTACCTTACTCAACCGGGTGGCGTTCAGTTGCACATGGCATATGCGTGTTCCGAAAGCCGTGATTCAAGCTGTGACTCAACCACTTATGTACACTTGCTTAATGAGGTAGGGATTCCAGGAGTATACGCTAAACACTACTTCAGAAAGATCATTTTCCCAAGAGTAAATGAAATAACTCGCAACCGTAACCTGAAAGGCGTGGAATAATTTTTGCAGTGAATCTCTGATTTATAAAAACGTGCAAATATGCTTATTGAAAGAAGTGCAATATTTTACATCAGATATCATGTGTTCACGTACAAATGAATGCATTGTACCCCCGTTGTGTACCCGATGCGATTTTTGTTCACCTCAATCAAAAATTTATATGGCCCTGGGTTGCATGCCATTTTTAACCTAAGTCAACCATCAAATTCTCCATTACTAAATTGACCTGCGCACCCGGATTCACCCGCGACGCTCTGCAACGCATTCCATTGATCATCGGCGTAAACGAAACCACCGTTTAGGTGTGTCCGATTGGGAGCATCAGTCGTATTAACACACGAACAAGAATTCAATTTCATTGAAATGTGGGCATCTCCGTTGCAGTCGATACTGGAAATCTAGGGAGCCAAAGTAAAAGCAGATGGCTGGTTGCTTTCACGCGCGGAGACTAATGGTCGGATGCGAATATTCATGTGTTGAATCCGGGGTGAGATACTTGTCGACACTTGCATAAACTCGCCAGCCACCGCGACAAGTCTGCAGGGTTTTCTGAACACGGAATAGTGAGTTTATCTGCTCGCCACTTCGAGACTCAAAGATGTTGCGAATATTTTGCCAGATAAATAGAATTGTGTCCACCATTTACCGAGATGTACAACCTGCGAAACCTGCTACTTCGAATGAATAGAGTAAACGAGCATAATCCTGACTTTAGTGTAGAAAATTAGCGGCAAAACGAACGCCGTGCTTGAAAGTGCCGTTTTGTCTGTTGGTTTGATGTGGATTTCTGGTGTCGAGATTAATTGCTGAAAGGTGCAGAATAACCGATCGGACACAACCCAGCAGATTCGTGGAGGTGGCGATTCAATCTTCCATCCCGCTGTTATTAGGTATGCTCCACGCACCTGTGACTGTTGCATGCAAAAATGTGCTGGTGCTACAAATCAAGCGGAATAGCTTTTTGAACGTGATTCTACCAGTGAGAACCCAGCACCACGAGCAATTCCGTCATGTTAGTTGGCCAAGTTGGTCAGGCCCATTGATTGCGTTGGGCTTTATTTTGGCCCTAATAGTAGGAGGCGTTGAACGCAGTGATGCACTTTGCGGATAGGTGTATTCTAGGCAAAGTCCCAATGTACACGAATAAACGACCGCAGGCTTGAAAGCGAGCGCACAAACATCCATGTATTATGTTATATTAATTCAGTTAATCTCAGGTTTGAAGCACGTGTGGGTGGCGGCGTGACTGTGGTTATGTCATGGTGTGGTGCCACCCAAAATATAGACTGAATAATAATCGTGCAAAACGATACCGATATTATTTAATATTCTACTCTGAACTCAATAAATATTTAGCTGAGGGGTCGATTATTCAACAACCGCCATATAAAGTGTATCCACATTTCCACTTCTGAATTCAGATTACGAAAAGCGCATAGCCAGTTAGTCAGAAGTTCACCCAGACATAAAAATGCAAATAGCCGCGCTCACTTTACCGTCATGCAATATGCATTGTCGGATGAACCGTTTGAGCTTCGCCCAAACAAATGATCCATCATTAATTGAGAACATGTGTGTTGTTACAACCGAAGTGCACAAACGCGACTAAAATGCAGATACTGATGCACCTGTATGTTGATTTGAGAGATAATAAATGCTGGGCCATCCGGCAAATAAACCGGTTACCTCAAGTATATTTGGAAATGGAAACTCGGAAACACAAAATACTCACGCGAATCTTTATGGAACTCGTGAACGATGGATAAATCAATACTTCCACCGTTTTTTATTTTCCATATTGTTGAATACGGATATGGGTCGCACTAAAACTCAAAGTGTGGTCAGCATGACCCTCAGCTTAATGCTTTGGAGCAATTCGCTGGGTTCCTCCGTTTTATATTCTTCTTGGAGCGTGTCCTCATAAAATTCCAAACATAAACGGAGACAGCAAATTAGTCATCTGGAGCAATACAATCGTGTGTTGTTGGAATGCATGAAACCCTCTTTAGCAGCCCGCCCAACTGGATTACAAAAAGGTCTCTCCATGCCAGGTGTTCAATTAAAAATTGCTGGCACTCTCAAACCTGATAGTCGGTTCTTTCGTATGGCATCTGCAATGCCCAATATGTTGATGATTTGCACCGCAAATTAATTGCCAATTCAGGGACGACGAAAGGAGAACCGAATGTGAATTAGGCCTATTACGTTGGCTGCCCAATATGTTGATGATTTGCACCGCAAATTAATTGCCAATTCAGGGACGACGAAAGGAGAACCGAATGTGAATTAGGCCTAGTTACGTTGGCCAATGAAACTGCGTGAGGATTGTGCCGGTGTGCAGCAAACACCCAGGTTTTCTTTCGTCAAATTTTGCTGGTAATTATAATGCACCGGCTTCGAGGTGGAAGTGGTGCCTCTGGTAGTTTTAATACTCTAATTAACAACCATTAATTGGTGATTATCTTGAATGGTGGAAGGAATAAGCACTGTAATCTCTTGATGTATCTAGATCCCGCCACAATGAATAAGTCACGTTGCTTCTGAAACCGGACAGTGCACAACAGTCAAGTGGTGAATAATAACGGTTGAATAACGGTCATGTTGAATAATCATCAAAATCCCGGAAAGGAGGCAAGCAAGCCAAGGTCGCAACAAGCCTTACGATTTCGGAGATGACATGATCCGCTGTGGGGTGTCAAACAAACCGAGGCAGCGATTTTTGCTGTTCCGGCAAGTTGTACTGCAAAGGAACTGTTAGGGGTCGGCATATATCTGAAGTAACCCGTTTCCGTCGTCCGCTCGTCACGCGTCCAAACAAAGACGACCATCCAATCGGGCTCAGCAGTGCGCTTAGTCCACCTACCTAGGCGTTCATATCTTCAGAAACCACAACGATATCTGAGCTTTTAGACTGTTGTACAAGGGCACCTAGAACGTCATAGAAACTGTCCATGGCAGATTCAGGGGTACAGACAGTTGGGGCATAAGCAGACAATAACCAAGGAACGATGAACCACACCTCCTCTAGATTACCTCACAGATGTTGCAAAACGAACCGCACAGACGTGACTTTCAAGGGGTATCCAATCGGGCAGAGACTCTTTCGCTCGTTCCTCCAATATCATACTCACCCTAACATGTCTAGATGCACCAGCCTCTGCATCACCAAAGGCGCGCAGTCTGATTCTGTCCGACAGCAAGAGGGCAGTCATTTCGATTACAGTACTTGCGTCCTGCGCCCTTGTTTCTGACAGACAACATACATCAGTACAGAGGAAATCCAGCGTACGCACAAGAGCCACCTTTAAACCTGCTTGCTTTAGTGTGCGACTATTGAAGGTGACTAAGTACACAGGTTTTGGGGTGTTTGAAAACATACTTCGAAGTGTTTAAAGTTGTAACGGATCTGAAGTTGAACATGTAGAAGCTGCAGCTAAGTGTGATGCAAGGCGAGCGAAACGGTGATTCCTAGAGAAGTGAGCTACGGAGAAAGTATCCGAACTTGGGCGCGGGTGGATGGAAGACGGAAAACGTGAAAGTGTAAGAGAGGAGGCGTCAGCAGTAGCATGTTTCCGCTTACCCGCTCCGCTGTATGCAACAAGTAAGGCGACCCGGCTGATGGAACCACGCGACGGCCGATGTGGCATGAGAGTATTGTTAGTTGTGTATGTCATGTTTGTGCGAGGGCCGGGTACTGCCAGGGCGCCCACACCTAGACAGGAGGACGACAAGCGTCCGCCACCAGCGCCTTTGGCTCAAAAGCCCAACCGCGAGGCAACGGTACTGGGCTGGAAATGCAAGTATATTTCCATTTTTCCGGAACACGTCGCCAAATATGACCCAACCCGCCACCTGGTTGGCCAAGAGTCAATGTTCTTCAGACCCCTACCCATGCACCAACCTAGTATGAGAGACTCTGTGGGTGTCATGCGGACAGCCCCAGTATAGCTTATTGGGTATCCGAGGTACACAAACCGCCACACCACGGTAAGTTCCAGTGTCTTCGTGACGGTCCAGTCTCTTCGCGACGGAGCTGTCGGTATATGGCTATCTGTGGATGTGGGTGCACCCCGATCTAAATGAACTTTCGCCTGTTGTTGTGCAGGCTATGCTGCGTCATTCCTGAGATCCCTGTTTGAAATGTGATTTCTGTTCCTGCACACGTTGACAGTAGGTCCAATCCATATAGATGGGATGTTAACGCCATAAGTGTAGTAGATATAGTTCCGCAGTGCGTTGATCTGTCGGACATCAGCGCAAACCTGTTATACATGTGACCTGAATCCTGACTGTAGTAGGCCTGCATTATCGGAACTGTTTAGATGATTCTCCCCAAGCGCGGGGAAAATGCTGATATCGTTTGCGCGTCACAATTCGTACACCGATCTGCCTAGCCGCCTGACCGATATATTTGGCTGGAAAACAGGTTGATGAAACATGTATGATAGTTACCCAGTAAGGCAGGAAATACGGTCGTGTAGCATAATGAAATATTCTACAACAGATGTAATTCATATGAAAAACGAAACCAGATGCAGTATACATTCACGACATTGCTAGATGCAGTAGATCCTGGCGATAGGCGTGAAATGATACGCTACTTCGTCGTGCAGAAAATGGAATAACAAAAGAATTGCGTCAAATAAGCTGAGGCAGCCAGATTGGCTAGCAACTGAATAACTCAAATGAAGAATATGACATCGGAGATGCATGGTCTAGAAATGAAATATCAGAGCGCAGCTAAAAAATATTCGCGAACGAATATTCGATATTTTATGAATGTGTATGGAACATCTTACGAACGTGGATGATCAGCAATGTAAATGCAATTTCAGTGATCTGGTGCCGAACTTAACAGCAGTTTCAGCACAGGAAACCGGGCGACGAATGTTGTTTATATACTCATCTTGGATAGCGAATGACTCACCATTTTGATTTGCTGGTCGTTCAAAATGGACGAGGAGCGGGCCATAACTCATTATGTCTGCGCTTTGGAAAACAATGAACATTTTGGGAGGTCTATGCACGTATCAGAGACATTTATTCGCAGCTGTTCCCATATGACTAGTATTGCTATTCGTAACTTAATGCACATTTAGCTGAGGGGTTGAAACATCAACAGTCGGCCAAAAGAGGGCGCCAAATTTTTCAATGCAGAACACGATTTCAGACGTGGTCGGTCAGTTAGTCGGAAGTTCATCCGAACATAAAAATCCAAATAAGCATGCTCCTCTAACTATCGTGTAATACGTTTTGTCTAATGGGCCATTTGAGCTTCGCGGAATTATAAATATGGATAAATTTGCCGCTGGTTGAAATGGGAACTTTTTGGCTGTTTTCGCGAGAAACATATAAAAGAGAACGACAAGTATAGTTTTTGGAAATGGCGCAAGATTTTACATGTCGTGTGGGTACGTGGAGATGAATGAATCCTATTCGTTGCGTACTCGATACAATTTGGGTTCAGTCCAGTCAAACATTTATATGACCGTTTGTTGTATGCCATTTACAACCTAAGTAAACCGTCCACTTCTGTATTATTAAGTTGACTTGTGGATCCACGACGCACTGTCACGCCTTCCAGTGATTATCATTACAAAGCAAATCACCATCGCGTTGTGTCAGATTGGGAGCACCCGTAGTATTAAAACATCTACGTAAATTCAATTTCATTGTTATACGGGAAGTACTGTTGCAGATGAAACTGGAAATCTGGGAAGCCAAATTAGTTGCATCCGACTGGTTGATTTCACGTTCGGAGATTGATGATCGATTACTAACATTCATGTGTTGAACCGGAAATGCACAAAAATACACGAACTAACTTGTTCCGAATTTTGCTCGAATACTAGTGCTCAATACGTTAATTGACTAAATGTTTTGTCTATAAATTTTGGCACCCAGCATCTGAACACATTCATGTTGATACGGGCAAAATATCTTTTAGGGTGTTTAATTTCGATTGGATCGCGAATTGTGAAAATGATTAGTCAAAATGTGCGGGTGCTTGAAATGCACCGGGTTTCAACAAAATGGGTTGACCTGCTTTGTCGTGCAGAACGCTTTGGTGGTGAACCCTTAAGGCGTGAATCCTAGACAGGGTGGGGTGGTTTGCAGTAATCCGCCGAATTTCCCCAACAATCCTGACACTCGTCCATGGTTGATTTCCTCAAATCCAGATCGAACAAAACAAAAGCTTAAGTTACCTGACAAAAACAGCATTTGAGTTCGCGCAGCGCGTTCAGTAGATTTCTAGCGGCCTATAGTTGGTGTATTTATGACCTTGTTTTTTGGCTCCGGTCAAATAAATGTACAAAGTCGTCGAAATTTCCATGATATCGTCAGTTACCGCTACAAGTTTGCTTGGTTTTTCCGTACACGTGATAGTGATTAGGCAGTCTGCCACTTTGAGACTCAAAGATGTACATATTTTGGCAGATAAATAGCATTATGCCTACCGAAATCTACAACCTGGGAAACCGCTACTTTAAATGGATGCTATAATGGAGCAAATTCCTAGCTTTCTGGTAAAAGTTTAGTGGCGAAACAAAAGTGGTGCTTGCAAGTGACCCTTTTGGCTATTAGCTTGATGTGGATTTCTGGTTTGGAGATTCGATGTTGAAGGCTGGATAATGCAAAGTACAATTACAAATTACCGTTGCAGTAAGAGCTCAAAAATTCCAGACGTCATATTATTTAGCCGAAAGCCCTTCAGCGAGCACGTTTCAACTATTTCGTATGCAAAGCTGAAATGTGATATTTGCGGTATTGGATTTTTCTTGAGCATGAGCCTTTTACAAAGAGACAAACGTTTCCTTTTCGGGACTTCCACTATTCTTTATTTAATAATATGACATCTTTTAAATGCAGTAGACACCGTTTTGTTAACTTTTACGATTATTCCAGCAATTTTGCTAGATTCATCTGGGAAATACGCTTACATTATACCACCTGCCGCAAGCACGAAACGTACGTGACACTATCCTGTGTCGGATGTTATTTCTGCCGCATAAATATGTACAATGGATATGTCAATGTTGCTACAGTTAGAGCAAAGGTGTGATTACGTTACGAATCCAGCCGAATAGCGCTTTAAACGTGATTCTACCAGCAAGAACCAGGAACCACGAGGGATTCTGTTAGGTTAGTTGGTCAAGTTGGTCAGGCCCATTGATTGTGATCGGCGTAAATTTGGTCCGAAAGTGAAAACTGCTGGACGCAGTGATCGAAATGGCAGATATGTGCGTTCTACGCAAAATCTCAAAATATATGCATGGATGACCGCGGGCTTGGAAACTCAGAACTGTTCAGATGCTTGGGCATTGTTGCCTAGTTTGCAGCGATTATAGCGAGTTTTCACTCGTTTCACTCTACCAGATTTCTTGGACGAAAAAGTGCATATTGTTGGTCCTAGATTTTCGGTCGCGGAGCTGCCAAGCTATCTGACTTGTGGATTTGGTTGGACACAGCTTTTGCGTTTTTTTTCAGTTCGACCGTGTACTTAGACCTCAACAAGTGCGGTTGTAGCGTGTCGTCAGTCGACAAAACGTGTGTAAAGTGAAAGTTTTAATTTCCATCCGGGTGTATCTTCCTGGGTATAAACATGGAATCTGGAAAGCAGCTTGAGCGGATTCAACACGGATATTCGTTTGGGAGAAATTTTTAATTTGATATGTTATAAACTTACAGCCTGCTGCTGTCCGGTGACGTGCAGTCGAAATGGAAACGAGTTATCTCAGTAATTTTCCACCTCAATTAATCTGCAGTGTTCAGGTTTCACATGCCACATGCGTGTTTTGAACGCTACATGTTAGGTTAATCACTGCTGTAAGCTTAATGTTTGATACGGCAGGAATTCCCGGGGCATAAGTAAATAACCACTTCCCAACAAATATCATCTTGATGAGTGAGGAAAATAGCTTTCAAATGTGGCTTTGAAAAGTGTGCAATAATTTATGTAGTCAATCTGTGCTTCAGTAAATCATGCATGGAATTACGATGAACAACTTGAGGCAACAAGAATGACTAGAATCCGATATGCTCCTGTCAACATACGTTTTATCACAGATCCAGTGCGCAACCATGTTTCTAAGAATTATACGAATTGACGTAATTAGGATGACGTTCGGTGCGCTTATCGGCCAAGGTTTGTCCCTGCGTAAGCAGGAACTATCGAGCAGATAGCCGTTCGCACGTCTCTGCACACTTTTAACACCATGCATCATTAGATAAATCGGAGTGTGGATGAGATTTCTTTGATATCCAACAAGACTTTAGCAGCAACTCGTGCTCTGAGCTCCTCCTTAGATTAAATTTTAACATCAAACTTTGAACATTGTGTCTTAATGGCGGACGGTATGCAGGAAGATGACTGCAACTCGAAAGGACGGACGTTTAGACGTCCTACGAGGAATATACAGGCAAATCGGAAAACGATAAGTTCCGAAGTCATGCTGGATCATATTCGGTAGCTAACGCACAGTATCATAAACTAGGACAACCGCCGTTGCCGAAAACAGCAAACGAGGGAGATATTTTTTCATGCAAGATGGTACCGATAATAATTAATTTGACAGGTTGAACTCAATAAATATTTGGGGTTGAATAATCAACAACCGGCATAAAATGCGGGACCACATTTCCACTTCAGAATATAATTTCCAAACACACTTGGCCAATCAGACGGAAGTCAACCCAGCCAATAAAATGAACACCCTCTCAAACTGCTCGCTCACCGGCTATTTTTGTATTAGATCTTGGGCTAAACCGACGATTTGCTCGTGTGTCTGCGTGGTATCAGATAACCCATTATCTAATGCTGTCTGCAGAATTGTGATTTCGGGCGGAGTCCTTTGGTGAAGCAGCCTCTGATTTTCTTGAAATTACAAACGAACAACATTTTTT